AGAAAGAGATAGTAAAATTATTAATTAATTAATTACATGTACATTATTATTATCTTACTCTGTGTAGAAACACTAGTGATCTCTCAAATGAATTATTAACCTCTTCATAGGCAGGATCAGTCACACACCTGTTACCATGACAATCAATTAAACCACACCCACCACTAACCTCCCACGGACTTGTTGTCTCCGTATCTTCAAATAATAATACCACAACTTGTAACTGGAAAATAACACAAAAACATAAAATTAATAATATTTACAATAATTACTGCATATATACTGGAAGTAGTTTGTTTTACTAATTTTGTCATTTAGGACAGTTTTAATTTTTTTTACAATAAAACAATCTATCTTAGAACATGGTGAATTATTTATTGGGGCGAGCATGAGCGAGACCCACACTAATCTGTCTAGGTCTATTTGCGTTACGTCTTGTTTGTGAACGGAAGATAACGATTTATAAATCCGTATACTATTAATAAATTCGGACCACGTGGACAAAATTAATTTAGAGGGTGTTTTCAAAAAGAACAAGATGGCGGAGATTTCAATGTGACAAACTTAGATTGAGTTTCTAACAGTTAGATAATAGAGAGGCGCTGTCTAAAGCATCTCTTTTGATCTAAGACTCCTCTAGATTAGTCCTCTCATTGAAAGAATTAAAATTGGGAGAACAGCTTGATTAGAACTTAGTTTAGCTCAGTTGGCACTGGCATTTCTCAGAGTGGCAGGACAGTTCATTCTTGTCTCTTTTACTGGGTCATTTTGGTCAGTTGTGTTAAATGGTGTGTTTGCTGTGTTCAGACCCTGCCGGGCCATGAGGATGGGGTCTGAAATTCTGAATATGCATGGCGGCAGGCTAAGAGCTGGATTGACTGATTTTATTTAGTTTAATCTTATTTCAAATGGTAATTGATGGAAGCTAGATTAGAAGTTTAACTTGGTACATTTTCTCAGTGTGGCAGGACTCGTTCTTGTCACTTTTACTGGGTTATTTTGGTTGTGTTAACTGGTGTGTTTGCTGTGTTCAGACCCTGGCCATGAGGCCGGGGTCTGAATATGCATGCAGGCTGAGAGCTGTGTTGATTTTATTTAGTTCAATCATGGAGAAATCAAGAATGCTACAAGGTCTCTGTTAAAGCACTATAACTTCTATCTCGTGCAAAATTCGGTCTTCTAGAGACTTCCTAGTGCTTTCTAGAAGTGTATACTTTCAAGTGAAAATGTTAGTTTTCTCATATGCGCTTGTTAGGAAGGCAAGCGTGTGCTGAGAAAATCCAGTAAAATGGACAACCTTATTTATGCCTTGTAAGAATCCCTGTGCTATAGTTTGTTTGCTTAAGATGTTTACAAGGTTTGTTTGATCTTCTGTACCCTTCTTTAAGACACCAAGATGTTCGTGTAAGTCAAATTTTTGATGTGAATGTTACCGGCTACTCAGCCTAAACACATAGGCGGTTGCAGGCCTGGGCGGCATTAGGGGGCAATGCCCAGGTTGACTTTTTGACCAATAATTATATTCATGATTCTGGTGTGGGCATCCAGTGTAAACTGTGGTAGTTCAACAGGCTTCTTTGTTGTTTTATGCTAAGAAATCATCTCAATGAAGTTATAGATCAGTATTGTCCATTTTCCTTGCAAAATTGTATGGAACCACACCCACTCCACACCCACTAATTATTGATGCCCAGGTCAAACCAAATTTCTGCAACCGCCCATGCCTAAACATTGTCTTTCTAAGTTCTTTTAGCTCAAAACAGGCCTTTGTCTGTTGTCAAATAAGCCTTTGAAGATAGTAGAAATAGCTCTGACTGAAAAGAAAGGTTTTACTTAGTCTTATCACAACAGCCTATGCTTTATCAATGCTAATAATTACTTGTCTTTACTTCAAAAATGTTCCAGGCAAAGTTTTGTATTTACTTCCTTTTTT